CCAAAAGTGTTGTTTCCCTATATAAACTATAGTAAAGTTTACCCCCTCCCCAAGGGAGAACGGATAGCTCGGGGGTCCTGAAATTTACAATTTAAGTAAAGCCCCTGATGGTCTTTCTCTTCATGTAGAGAAAATGAGTGTAGTACCTCTGAGTCTGAAGAAGAAGATTTTTGAAATATTGGTTAATTTTCCCTTTGGGGCCCCACCCTGGCCCCTGGGGTTGGGGTAGGAATCTCAATTTTACAATTTTGTAGCGTCATCTACCAAGGATGATTCTGACCAAGTTTGAAAAAAATCCATCCACTGGTTCTTGAGAAGAAGTTAAAAATGTAAAAAGTTTACGCACGACAGACGGAAAGCGATTAGAATAGGTCACTTGAGCAAAGCTCAGGAGCTCAAGTTGACCTAATAATAGCAGGTTAGCCTAAGTTTCCTCTGGCCCTGACACCAGATGGTTTGGGGACAGAGCGCATTATTTTATAAATAACGTGGAATTATCCGACACCGTTTGGTATTGGTGCGTTTTGAGGTGCTGATAACAACAAAAATCTTCTATGACAAAACACATACCTCATAGACACCTATCTGTAACAATGTCTAAGTCTAGGGTCAGAGGAAACTCGGGCTAATAGCGGCTGTGCCCGTCTATTAGCCTGTGACATCGGATTGATGCGTCGCTGCTTAGACGGTGTGTGGGGTTTGATGACGTTAGCTTCAACGTTGTTCCACACTTCATCAAAGTTTTAGTGAATTCTTTTGTTTGTGCTATCCCAGCAAGATACAGGCCAGTAGTTAGTAATCTTTGACTCCAGGACATGTATAAGTTGATTGCCACTTTTTACATATTGGTGTCTCTGACCAGGAAAATGGGCCAATGCCATTCATTTGGAAAAAGAGTGATCGTCCTTCACCCCAATAACCTACAAGTCATATTTAGAAAATAATTTTACAATTTTAACCCCAATCAATGAAAACTTGATCAACCATCACTCCTCGCGCCACAGACTAAGAAGGTAAATGTAATCCATTCAACAAACTTGACAGCTTTTCACCCAAGCATGCTATAGACGAAATATCATAACCTTAAGTCTCTTGGCTTTTAAGATGTATTTAAAGGTTTCAATGCAAGCAAGGTGTTAGCCAAATATCACCGCTCTAAGCAATTTTGTTCTTCAAAGGTTTTGACATATTTATATCTGTGACATTAAAAGTAGGTCAGTCATTTTTAATCTCCAGCCTTGTCCGGCACTACCTCAGAAGGCTACAAGCCAAATATCACGACCCTTCGCGTTTCGGTTCTCAAGAAGTGTTTGAAGTTTTTAACATATTGTATATGATCCTGTGACCTTGAAAGTATGTCATTTCATTTGCAAAGTGTGTCAGTCTCTATCCTAGAAAGCTAAAAGCCAAATTTTATAACTTTGCCTTTAGGGTTCTTTAGAAAAAGATGTTTAAAGAAAAGGTTGACAGACGGTTGGATGAACTGATGAAAACACAGCACCAGGGTAGTGTACAAGCCCACCTGCCAACCTTAAGCTTTCTGGCAAGTGAGCGAAGACAACCAAACAAATTCTCAATGATTCAAGACAGACCACGTATATATTTTTCTTCATATTTTTATTTCTGTTACTTGTCATACTGTACATATAGTTTATACACATCATCACAGTGATAATATATAAAACATTACAGCCATTTACTCTACACATACACCACTCTCGTAAAACACAACCTGGCAAGCCATTCCTCAAATACTTCTCCATTCTTTTTCCCCTCCTCATAATTGCCCTGCACTCATCACACGTTGAAGATCAGTCACAAGTCACACCAGACATGTTCACCTGTCATGTGACTATGCCATCTGACCCTGTCACCTGACATGTCATTGGCCACATGACTTTGTTGATGACATTTTGTTGGTCACATGTTATATGTTGACCACACAATGAAATATTCCTCCAAACACAACAAGATAAAGTCTAGTGATCATTCCAACAATATGAGTGCATGTTGCTGCATCAAAATTAAACTTAAAAGTAGAAGTCTGGGTCCAGTTGTGTAAAAAGTCATTGGCTTAATCACTATTTGATTACATTTTCTACCTCTATTAATTTGGGCAATAGACAAAGTAAATTTGTATGTAATTTTACTCTACTTAAATATATTTGTTATCTGGGATTTTTTTTACTAAGTTAATGCTTGTGTGTTATAAGATATACACATACTAAAACTTGCACCAATCACTGATTAAGCTAATCACCTTTTGAACAACTAGGCCCTGGTCGTCAGAAAATATTATTAGTGGAAATGGTCATCATTATCATATCCCAAATTATTTTATGAATGCTCAATTTCCATACATTGTGAAACCTGACTAAAGTAAACAATACCATTTACTTGGAAATGTTTGCCACAGTCTAATGATTGTCTTCTTCACTCTCTAGAACGGAGGGTGAATTTAGACAATGAATATCAGTACTCTGTATACTCTATATAGTAATTACCTGAAGGGCGAAATTCACACTAGATGAATATAGATTTTACTGATGAAGGGTGAATATTTGATTGGGCGAAAGTCTCCTAGTATACAGTAGCAGGTATGTATGCTAGAAAAGACATGCTCTTCAGATAACACAAGTCACTGTATGAAGTAGGACCTCACCTGCCTAAACTTCTGTTTCAATTTCTTTATCAACCAGGCTTCTGATTAGACAAGGATTTTTTTCGTACAGATTTGTGATCATCAACTCATTCACCCTGAAGACACATTTGAACTCTTCTAATTCAAAGGTTGGAATAGTTCATTATAAAAATTCAGGGGTGAATGAGTTAAAACAATTTCTACGATAAAGGATAACTAAATCAGGGAAACAATATGACAGACAACAACACCTCAAGACTTGAATATCATGACTTCAATAATTCAACATCTTGAACACATTAGTATTTGAAAGTACATAAAAAGTATCTGCTGAAATAAGAGCTTTTTGCAGTAGTTTGAGCAGACTTAACAACCAAAGATAAGTATCTCATCCAACACAGTAGAGACTAGTCCAGCTGGATAGAAGCACACAGAGACTAGCTTAGCTATGTGACCTCACAATAGAGTTTAGTCCAACTGAGTGGCCATACAGTAGAGAATAGTCCACCTCAGTAAGCACACAGTCCAGCTGGCTGACCATACAGTACAGCTCAGTAATCAGACAGTACAGACTAGTGCAGATGGATGACCACACAGTAGAGTTTAGTCCAGATGGATGACCATACAGTAGAGTTTAGTCCAGATGGATGACCACACAGTAGAGTTTAGTCCAGCTGGATGACCACACAGTAGAGTTTAGTCCAGATGGATGACCACACAGTAGAGTTTAGTCCAGCTGGATGACCACACAGTAGAGTTTAGTCCAGCTGGATGACCACACAGTAGAGTTTAGTCCAGATGGATGACCACACAGTAGAGTTTAGTCCAGCTGGATGACCACACAGTAGAGTTTAGTCCAGCTGGATGACCACACAGTAGAGTTTAGTCCAGCTGGATGACCACACAGTAGAGTTTAGTCCAGCTGGATGACCACACAGTAGAGTTTAGTCCAGCTGGATGACCACACAGTAGAGTTTAGTCCAGCTGGATGACCACACAGTAGAGTTTAGTCCAGCTGGATGACCACACAGTAGAGTTTAGTCCAGCTGGATGACCACACAGTAGAGTTTAGTCCAGCTGGATGACCACACAGTAGAGTTTAGTCCAGCTGGATGACCACACAGTAGAGTTTAGTCCAGCTGGATGACCACACAGTAGAGTTTAGTCCAGCTGGATGACCACACAGTAGAGTTTAGTCCAGCTGGATGACCACACAGTAGAGTTTAGTCCAGCTGGATGACCACACAGTAGAGTTCAGTCCAGATGGATGACCACACAGTAGAGTTTAGTCCAGCTGGATGACCAATGTAATTTATGAAGTGCAAAACTGTGATCTGATACCAGCAATATTTATTAACTGGACTATACTTAGTAAAGTATAAAATCTTACATTTTTCAATAATAATAATAAAAAAAGGTGAAATAGAAAGTGAGCAACTCTACAAATTGAGGAGTACAGGGTGTATGATAAATAATACTAATATATATTTTATGCTAGGATTTCTAAAATTTTGAATGTTACTTTTATGTCTCATTGAGCAATCAAATAAAAAAGGGAAGAAAAAAATATAAGACACATACATTACAATATTACACATTATGTACTAATAAATCAATTTGTGATCTTTTTCTTCAACCACTTAACAATATGGATACTATATGATTCCAGTGGATGACAAATTAACCAAGGTTGGCTGATCAGATTAGAAGGAATGAAATTATTTTATGTTAAATAACTTCAATCAAGTTATATTTATATACCTAGGTATGAAAACAGGAATGAAAGAAGATAAGCGTCTTAGCATTTTCAGAATAAATATACAATGTTTGTGTTTCAGTATGAAACTATGTAAATGAAACCTTGCAAAAATACCCAAAAATGTGTTGGAGGGTTTTCATTTTTCAATAAGTGATTTAGGATGGAAATTAGATTTTTCTATGAATAAAAACATACACCCCTTATAAAACATTTCTAATTTGCACCTAATCTAAATTCATCCCAAAACAAAAATTGAAATTGCAACTTCTATCATAAAACAACTTTCACAATAGCATTTGTCAACTCTTGCATGAAATTGGAACCCCATTCATAAACTGCCATGAACAGGCCTACACAATCTTTAATAAAGACATGTTTATAACACGTATACAACACTGTTACATGTACAGAATTTAATGTCTTCTCGCTTTTTGTACAAAAAAAATACCAAAACATATTTTTACTGCAACATCGGACATAACCATCCGATGAGGTGATCACATTCAGTAACCAGACACTGATGATTGCCTCGCCAACTTATGATAATCACCCAGGCAAGTTGGAAAGACAATCATTTGACTGTTGCTGGCCACACACAAAATTTAAATAATGTAATGAGAATCAAATTGCGGTTACAACTAATGAATATTCATAAGAAATCATGTACCACATACAATGAATATTCATAAGACATGCATTGCATATAATGAATATTCATCAGACATTATACAAGTTAACTGTAAACATATTTGAATTCATTACAACACCCAATCCAATCATAAACTGATCTTTATAAAGGAACAGCTTATGTACTGTTAGATAAATGAAAAAGGAACTTCCAAGCATTGTACCTAAAATAAGGATACAACATGTGCAGCAAGCAAACATCGTTTTCTATACATAGAAACATATATCAGGTTATAGTATATTGTAACCCGTTTTGAAAGGAAATTTATGAGATTCCATAGGTATGATAGAGTTACCTCCCCTATTGGTGTACATTGATCGGGTAAATAATTGCCAGTTGGAAAATTGACAGTGATGTCTCATACTCATTCCAAAAATGACTTTATAGTTATCTGCTTGAAATTTTCACTTGGAAAAAGCTGGCATCATCACCGACATTTAGTTATATACCCTTCATAATGTTTAAGCAAAGTCCATACATGCTAACTTTTTGAAATTTCTATGGGGGAGACTAGTGTGCTCAGAATTAAAAGCATAATGTAGGTATACTCTAGGGGGAAAACACCTTTAGATGGCATCTTTTGAGCTGTTCTTTCAGATGAAATCATTACATGTTAGAATATAGGAATAATTAAGTAAATTCACTGGTTGAAAATGCTCAATTTTAGGGTCCCAAATCGTTATTCTTCATTATTATTCTATATTTAGGCCGAAAACTATGGTAACTCAGGGGTTTAGTTAGATTTCAGGTTGTGTGTATCTACACAAAGTAGACAGTTATTTCAGTATTCTTCATAATTCCTCATCATTCTTCTAATTCTTTCACGAAAGTACATTTTTGCAGCTGGTAAATATCTGTAATAAGAGGGTATTTTCACCGGCTACAAATGAAACCCCTGATAACCCTGTATGTCTATCCTAGACATTGATGCCTTTGTATCCTAGGGAGTTTAAACAAACACTGTTAGATCAGATTATTTATCCTAGGGAGTTTAAACAAACACTGTTCGATCAGATTATTTACTCCATATAACCAGTGAAAGGATTATTAAATTTTAGTGGACTTAGATGCAATTTTCATCTCATTGTGACTAGAAAATAGCAACAAAATATATGCCTATGGAATGGTCAGAACTGACCAGCTAGAAAGGACAATGGTTTGTAAGGATAAGTGGTCACATGGTAACACACAATAGTTGTGTTCGGATTAAGTTAAGAATATCATGTCTGAATTTGTCCAGTTTTCTGATATTCATCCCTTTATCAAAAATATGTGATGAACCATTAAGAAAATAAAACATGTCTCTATTTAATATTCACCACCATGATTACTGCTGTAATTCCTATCAATACGTGGCAAGTTTATCTAATATCTAGGTCAACTACATACATGTTTATTGTGATGCCACAGTTACTTAGCATCTATAGTTAATGAACATTTTGGTCATTCATTTTTATTTCGGAAACACTTTCCCATAATAGCGCAGAGTTTTAAAATTGTCCATTCTAAACACAACCTATGCACTCATCCACATCATTAATGATGTGTAACTGATTTCCTACAGTTGATGAGGGTTCATGACTATAGACATTAAAATATAAGGTGGGTATGTTTACGGTAATCTATTTTTGAACAATGTTACAGTTTGCAAATGACACTAGAAAACAATCGTGTCCTAAAAATCAAACACCAAAACCTCATCAAGTTTGAGGAATTTCTTGAAAATCTTATTAGAACTTTTTAACAGTGATACTATACATATGGCGATGATAAATGACAAATCTACTGATTTACGAAATGTTTTCTTGAAATTTCAGATTGAAAAGCCATTTGACTGGACTTTTCAATTTCAAGAGTGTTTTTCTCTCTGAATTTGGAGAGAAAGAGAAAATCGCACCGAAATGTAGATTTTGGGAATATGTGTACAAGACTCGGACTAATCTAGTTCAGTTTTATTAGTATTTATATCCCAATGACCAGCTCTTGCATTCAGTGGTCAGAGAGCGAGTTTTCCAAACTTCTATCAGAGCCCGATTCACCGGGGTGTCCTTTACTGAATCTTAAAATAACAATCACGGTTTTAATTACATATTTGGATGAATATGACGCCAGGAATGATTGAACCCACTGACATATTCATCATCTAATTCTATCTCATATTCACATGACAAACAAAATTACATGCACATATCGGCAATGCTTGATGAATATATACAATGCATGTCTTTAAAATAAACTGATACCAAATATTTTTCGTATAACTTGTCTGTGCATATATAACTCATATTTAACAAGTTCCATGATAAATACAGAATGTTTTTTCTGTCACCGACAGAGATTTGAATGATCCTGTCATTTGGATGTTTGTAACAGATATCCAACTATTGTGAATAAGCGTTAAAGGAATAAATGAAAACTTGATAGAAAATCAATGTTTTCCTAAGAAATTGTGTCAATGTTTTTAGATTTACTTGTTGACACAAGTTTTGATGAGAGCCATTCCAGACAAGAATGTTGCTATATCTCCAGAATTGCACTGAAGGAATAAATTATTACCTGTATACGTTCTGTATGCCTAGATGTCTTGGAAGACAAAAGACCTTGGGTCTACTAAGCAAGTCACCAAAGTATTCTCTCCTGGGATGGAGTTGAATACAGGACTTCAATTTTTATTTTAAAATTCCAATATCTTCCAACATCTAACAGTAGTGTTTCAATGGGGAAATAATCCTAGAACCAAGTAAGACAGTCTAGGTGTGTCGTCTCTCTGAATCCTTGGAACTTTACCAGTTGGCCTCGTCTTCCTGAACATCATTTCAATGTCAACATGCACTAGTATCCATGTCATAAACACACAATCACAGGTGATTGAGAAAATGATTTCACTGAGAAGAGACAACAGTTCATCTTAACCAAACTGAAATGTAAAACCGCCTGGAGCCGTGTTTTGGGGTCCGCCAAAACTAAAACCAGGACCTCCTCCACCAGTGAAAAATGTCTGAAATATCTGGTTAGGGTCCACGCCGAAATCTGTAAAAAACAAATTTTTGATATATAATATCATATGAATAACTCATTGCTATTCAAGACAAATGTCTGTTATACCTCAGCACACCAAAATGTATTCCTTTTGTTCATAGTTATAATGCAAATTATTAATTGAATTCTATATCTCATGGGTGTAGCATATAAACAAAACCTACAGGTGCTTTGTGTACGACCATACAGGGTATACAATCCCTTGATTTTATATCAGGGTTAGTTAAGGAAAATACAGGTCGGGCTCGCAGGGTTTCACAAAACCTGCCTCAAGGCTAGCCTTATCAATATGAAACTGTATATATCTATAATAAACTGTATATATCTATATAAACTGTATATATTTATACAGCTGTATATATATCTATACAGCAGTATTTTATGTTTCAGATTTGTTAGACTTAAGAGTAATCTCCCTTATATATAGAAGATGAAGCAATTATATTAAGGAGATTTTCTGTCTGAAAGCCCATACTCTTGACTATCATTTTTGAGCTGTTTAATTATAATTCCTAGTTGGTAACATTAGTCAAGTGCAGGCTTGCCAGTGTAAATGTTCTGAGTTCGACTCATGCAGTTTTCTTTTCTTTCTGTTATCAAACATTCAAATTCCAAATACCTATAATTCTGTAAAATGCATTGCAGCATGTGGTTTATGTCACAGTAGTGACAGAGGTATAGCTACAGTTAAACCTGTTTATACCTTTACCTTAATTAGCTCAATATATTCCTTCAAATGAGAACAATTATTTATAAAAGGTGACAAATGATACAATGAACAAAAATAAAATGCTCTATGCGAACTACTTCAATACCAGTTAATTTTACAAAATAGCTGTAGCGAGTTTCCATCTGGTTAAAAACTAGGCGACAGTTTGATAAAGCTTCAATTTGCATACTCTCACAATAAAATATACTTACCAAATCCTGCACCTCCTTCCAATTCGTCCAAATCAGCCCCAGAATCGTATCTGCTCTTCTTACGTTCATCAGACAATACTGAATATGCTTCCCCAACTTCTTTGAATTTTTTCTCTTCTTCCTTCTGTACGTCTGGTGAATCATGACTGTGACGATCTGTAAGGATGCAACAAAAGAATATGATCCTGTGGGCTTACAAATCATTCCAGCAGGTACTTGATATCTTTCTATATTTACATTTGCCCCCGCGCCGTCCCATTACAACAGTGTTAGAGGGCAAGTGTAATTATATAGGCTATAATTACAACTGCTCGACTATAATTACAACTGCCTGTTTCAGGTGTAGGAATATGTAAACAAACAAAATGGCCACCAGAAATGTATTTTGAGACAGGGCAAATGGTTTTTGTAGGAATATGTCTTAAAAAAGAAAAATATGTAAATATAAAAAATACCTGGTTGTCTGGATGTAATTTTTGTTGATATAATTACAAGTGGCCTCTGGCAAATCTACCATAAAACCCTAGCAGTTATTGTTTAAATAAATGTCAGATGTCTCTCTAGTTATATACCGGGTAGTAACTAGAGAAATATATATTGACCTTTGTGTAATTGTGATATATATATATGTAGATATGGAACCCCCATTTAGCACATCCATCAGACTGATCTGTACATACACAACACATAGTCCCAATAGTGTTACATCAGGGAACCAATTACTGTCAAATGTGGTATTTATGTGGGCTCAAATTTTCATGATTTGACCCCGAGTTAGAAAATTAGACTTTATACACCGATTATAACTTCTCAATCTAGACATGTGAAGAAACTACATTTTCATGGTGTTTGAGCACAGTATTTCGACACTCGCCATAAAAGTGTCAAATAGTGGAATGAATAGGCTTTATGACATCATATCGTGTAACAACAAGGAAGTAAACAAATCATCAAGACAGCTATTAAATGTATGATATAACCTTTTTTCAAACATCGTTACTCTTTATGTATATGAATTCATAACCACATGCAAGCTTTTTCCGGACACCATTACAGTTATGAAGTTTACTGTCATATTATTCTGCTGAACATATTTTCCAACCACATTGTTGACCCGCGAAAACTTGAAAATATCATCCCCGTGGAATATCCTGCTATAGTATACATTCTGAAAAACAGCTTTGACCACAGATAAAACTCTCGACCCTTAAAAAAAGGTTTGATGATACATTTTTGACAATGAAGCTAAGATTCCATGAATAAGTTGCCCTTGCTTTCAAGACTGTGCCACTTTTGATAAGTTTTATATTCATCTATTAACATATATCCAAATAAATATTGTATTGTGGGTCTAGCATTGAACTCTGCATCTAGTTGTAAGAAACTTGTTACAGCCTTCCAATTGTTCCAGTCTACCTAGATGTATGAATGAGTATCGGCATGCTAGTAATCCTGTAAAAGACTGGTGTCAATAAAAACTTACCAGGGTGATGCACTAAAGCTCGCTTCCTGTACGCTTTCTTGATCTCATCCACTGATGCTGTTTTTGTTACCCCTAATATTTTGTAATAGTCTTTCCTTTTACTTTTCTTAAGTTCTAATTTGGCATCTTGTAATAATCGTTTATTTTCTGTAAAGACAAAAGAAATACATGTAAAAATCTTGTATAAAAAGACTTAGCATTTTTTCTTACACATGTAGGACCAGCATATTGCATTCTTTATGGACATATTGCTTTCAGAGGTAACTATTTCTAACATAAATAACTTCAAAGTAACATTGAAGTAAAAGAATAATCAATTGTTTATACGTTTTATATATGAAGCACGAAGAAGGTAGGAAAATGGATTAACGGGTGAAAACATTTATTACCAGAGAGCAAGTTTATATGAACTTCCAATCAATCTAAAATTGAATAGTTTCACAATATGCACCTGATAAACCACAACAGAATTCATAGGAAATCAGTACTCTAAGTCAGAGTTACCTACCTTGTGATTTATCCAGTTCTTAAATCAGAGTTATCTACCTTGTGATTTATCCAGTTTTACATCAGAGTTACCTACCATGTGATTTATCCAGTTTTATATCAGAGTTACCTACCTTGTGATTTATCTAGTTTTACATCAGAGTTACCTATCTTGTGATATACAAAGTTACCTACCTTGTGATTTATCCAATTTAAGAATTTTTTCATAATCTCGGACTGCATCTTCATATTGTTCTGTTTCCATATAACTGTTAATTATAAAGTATACAATGATTGTCTCTATAATATATATATTCTCTGGTACTTTCAAATATTGTGAATTAAATCTTGCGGCAATATATATACTACAATATAAAATGCACTTGGATTAGGCCAAAATAAATTGATTACTTGGTTCTCAGGCCCGCGCCTTTCATTTTAGGGCACCGCATTGCAGATTTTTTCGTGAAAGTAATAAAAAATAAATCGTGAATGCGCCAGCCTGTCTTAAAAAAAATCTGGAAAATTGGTCCGCATGTTGTTTTTACTCGTTAGCCACCCAAGTTCAAAAACGTTTGAATAAAGATAAGGAAATTGATATACAGGCAAGCGTTAAAACGAGTATGACTTATCAGTCTCCAGTACAAATGGCGATAATTTCGGAACAAATAAGGAATGTGGGGCCCGGGGTTCGTGATTCTCGTCTGGAACATCGTGGGGGGATTTTCGGAGGCTTGCTCTGTGACGGGTCTCTACACAACTATAAAAAGACAAGGTAATGCCCACAATGAACGTTTTACAAACTGCACAAAAAAAAATCGCCCTCGTCTCATTTTTGCCATGTAAAATGAAAATAAAAATAATACCTCTCTGCCGCATTTCTTTTGAAAATAATTGGCCTGAGAACCAAGTAATTTTTTTTTTTGGCCTCAAACTGAAGGGAATAGATTTGCTGAATAACAATCAAGGATAATAGAGGCAAATGAATATTAAGCTACACAGGGTAGGAAATTCTGTATTCCTTCAGTACTTTCTGCAAAATAGAAATTACAATCTTCAACTGTCAAAACCCAAGATTGGCATTAGGCCCTATCTTGTTCTAACAATCAGTCAAAAAATTAAACATCCATAACTTAAGACCAAGGGTAAGCAATTTGTGTAATTTGACCTGTCCAGTACTTAATGAGATATAGCAATAAAGTGTTAGTGGTGGAGAGTACCAATGCACCATTGATAATGGCATAACCCCCACGTGGTCGGAAAGGTCTACCCCTTTTCACGTCCAATGGAGGAATTGTAATTGCCCTTTCTATCCACTGCACCACCGGATCAGCCAAATGGAAAGCTCAATACAAAGATTGTATTACTTATTCTCCTATACCTTTTACCACTGTAGACCATAATGGACTCATCCAGGTGAATGTATGTTAGTCTACTCAAGCTACCTAGGGGTGAAAGGGTTAAGGGTTTGTAGCACTTAAGGAGATGTAGTGTAGACAAAGTTGTGTTTACCAAAAAAAGAACAGCTCCACCTCTACCAAAAATTTAACCTGTTACATTCTTGCATCATACATGTACTCATAATTTGATGAAATTTACCCCTTTTTTCCAAATAAATATATTCGTCCAATGGCATTTCATCTAAATGTCATTTAGATGTAACTACAAGAAATCAGATAACCAATATAAAACCAATTTAATTTGATACCTGAATTTTCTTCAGTGCCCAGGATTTTTCCTTCAGTTTTTGCTGGTCTTAAAAGCTTTGACAGAACAAAGTAGCATTTCTTAACAGCATGATGAGTTTTGTACTTGTGACCTATTTCTATCCATAAAAGTCTGCATTTAACCCCTTCACCACTGACCTTAATGGACTTACCCAGATGAATGTATGGTAGAGTGTATTCAAGTTACCTAGGGGTGAAAGGGTTAAACTAAGTGTATTCAAGTTACCTAGGGGTGAAAGGGTTAAACTAAGTGTATTCAAGTTACCTTGGGGCGAAAGGGTTAAACTAAACACAAGCTATTAACATAAAATGCTGATGTGCACAACATCCTTACCATTTTGCACGCCGTAGATAAGCTTTGATATACGTGTCATCGAGGTCGACAGCTCTCGTACAGTCAGCAATGGCTTCCTCCACCCGATTTAACTGAAGGGAAACAACAAACAATGAAGGAGGCTTTTGACAACATGACGTCCACAATAATGTAGAGAAAGGTGATGAAATAACAGACTTATTCAAGCTTTTACTTAGTCACTAAAACATTTTGATCTCTTAATATTTCATGGGTTCTATTAAGTCCAGACATATTTTGAACATCCTTCTTATTGCATCATCTGACACCCATGAAGTCTTCTGTTTCTTTAAAAGAGACTGGGATTTATAAATGCAAAAGATGAAAATTAAGTGAACTAAAATCTTACAAGCTATTGAAGAGGACCTTTTTCATAATAGAAAAAAAAGATTTAATCATACAATACAGCTTTCCGATGAGCAATATATTTGCAAAAAACAGTAAATATTTTAATATGTTCTGTAAATAGAGATACACATCAGTCATCACATATAAACAAGAGGCCCATGGGCCTAAACGGTCACCTGAGTCTACAGTATTTATTTTTGTTGTTGAAATATGTACCAATTTGAGTAAAAAATAGTATAATGTTAACTTAACTTTGTCAGGACCATGAGCTGATCATTCCTAGACCAATTTTAAGTGAGATCGGCCTATTAGAACTTAGTAGCAAAATAGCGGCCATGGCAGCCAAATTGTATTTCTGATTGACCCGAAAAATAACAACACTTTGTCAGGACCATGAGGCGATCATTCCTACCAACTTTCAGTTCAATCGGTCCAGCAGAACTTGACTTTAAGTTTGAAATAGGTTTTCAAAATGGCGGCCGTGGCGGCCATATTGGATTTCTGATCGACCCGAAAAATAACAACACTTTGTCAGGACCATGAGGCGATCATTCCTACCAACTTTCAGTTCAATCGGTCCAGCAGAACTTGACTTTAAGTTTGAAATAGGTTTTCAAAATGGCGGCCGTGGCGGCCATATTGGATTTCTGATCGACCCGAAAAATAACAACACTTTGTCAGGACCATGAGGCGATCATTCCTACCAACTTTCAGTTCAATCGGTCCAGCAGAACTTGACTTTAAGTTTGAAATAGGTTTTCAAAATGGCGGCCGTGGCGGCCATATTGGATTTCTGATCGACCCGAAAAATAACAACACTTTGTCAGGACCATGAGGCGATCATTCCTACCAACTTTCAGTTCAATCGGCCCAGCAGAACTTGACTTTAAGTTTGAAATGTAAAATGTTAACGGACGACGGACGACGACGGACGAAAACGGATAGCAATAGGTCACTTGAGCTAAAGCTCAGGTGACCTAATAAAACAGAACAGAATTAGATAGAATTTTATATATATATATATATATAAATACACAAATGAAACTAGAATTGTGTTTTTGTTCACAAAAACATGTCTCCTTATAGACAAACTTTGGTATAAAAAATTTACAAAGGACCATATCTCTATAAAGTGGGGTACGAGACCCGAATTCAGAATGCAACAATCCTACTTCCAGAGATACATTAAAACTATAGCAAGTTTGGTCAAGGTAGGTGAAATAACATGGAAGTTATGCCGTGGACAAACTTTAGTATTAGAAATAAACAAAGGGCCATAACTATTTATATAGTGAAGCACGAGACCTAATATCAGTGCACTGCACACCTTCTGTAGGTGTTGCAGGTATACTTTAAGTTTGATCTAGATATCTTTAACAGTTTAAATATACGGGCCGGACAAGAATTTACTGAAAATGTTGCACTTCTTTGACCTTAGACCTTAAGATGCAGGTCACAGTGACCCACTAATTCCAGTGCACTGCACAACTTCAGTGGGTGATGCATGCATACCCAAAATTTCATCAAGATATCTTCAACGGTTTGAAAGTTATGGCCCAGACAAGTTGCTATTAGAAGAACCAGTACTAATACAATGTCTCCCTTCATTCGTAGGGGAGACATAATTAAGACTAGACAAAAAAAAATTTTTTCCTTTAAAATGTTGAACAAATTTAGGGAAGGTAGTTAGGTAACAAGTTTTAGGGTAGGCACAACAAATTAGGGTAGGTTGGGTAACCAAAAACACCAAATATTTTTTGTTTGGCCTAATCGAGAGTTGAGAGGAACTTATTCAAGCTTTTACTAAGTCATTTAACAGGTTCTTTTAAATCCAGAAATATCTTGGTTATTCATTATGAACAATAATTCAATTAATAGCAATCACGCATCATTGAGATACTACGGAACTACCTGACAAACTCACCTTTGAGCCAACTGTCGCTCTGTTGAAGTAAAGTTTAGAATTTGTGAATTTGTTGTTAGGATCAATGGCTAACGCCTCTGTGTATAGATTGTATGCTGCCTGTAGGTTTCCCGACCGAAATTCTTTGTTTCCTTCTTCTTTTTTAGCTATTAAGGCTTTGGCTTTCTGCAAAACAACATGAAACACACAATGAATAGTTTCAACAGAGAAAACTTACATAAACAAGAGGCCCATGGGCTTAACGGTCACCTGAGTTCTGACATATTTATACAGAGAGTTGATTTTTGTTTTTAAAACATGGATAGAAATATTATTCAAAGTGACAAAAAACAATAAAACCACCTTATTCAGTATCTAGCATACAGATTTAAGACTGAAAAGTATTTGAAACTAGCACCTCTGGTTCTAAACAAGGAAAATTAATTTTTTTTAGCACACCGACTCATTTGGGCCCCGCCCTACAGCCATTTGGGGGGTAGGGCTGGCTAACATAATTTTGGTAAAGCACCTTAAGACCCTTTCATCTATGAAAAGTATTTGATTCTACCATATCTGGCCCCACCCATCAGCCCCAAGGGGTCAGTCAGGGCTGATATGTGCATACCATCAAACTTCTATCCAATACTGATAATGTGATAATGCTACCCCAAATTGAATTACTTCCAATGGTAATCATACAAATGTTGGTCCAAAATGTGATTTCCCTATATAAACTATAGTAAAGTTTACCCCCTCCCCAGGGGGAAACGTGAGACCCCAGGGTCATGAAATTCACAATTTTGGTAAAGCACCTTAAGACCCTTCCATCTATGAAGAGTATTTGATTCTACCATATCTGGGTCTTGAGAAGAAGATGTTTGAAATTTTAGTCAATTTGATCCTTTTTGGCCCCGCCTCTCAGGCCCCTGGGGGCTTGGGACCATATAATTCACAATTTTGGTTGACCGTTGGCCATGGAAGGTTTCTGCAAAATTTCATTGAAATTGGTTCAGGGGTTATGGAAAAGAAGTCGAAAATGTAAATTGTTTACGGACGGATGACGGACAAAAGGCGATCGCAAAAAATATAACTCTATGTTTCATAATAATTTTTCAAGAACTTCATCCCCTCACCCCAACCCTACATCATTTTCACAGTACTGCAAAACTTCAATGGTCTGTGAAAGAGGCATGAAGGATTTCAGTATTAAAGGGTTTTGTATAGAATACTGACACCCCCCTCCCCCCTAAAGTCATATCAGAATTTTTGTCCATGAAATGTTATCAAGCAACAGACATAGTCTTATTGCACATTTGAAGTTAACACTTGTGATCTTCACAATTGGAAGTGAATCATATGTACATTGCTTTTTCTTGGTGCAGATCTCAATCATTCCTGAATGTGGTGGGCAAATAAGTGTAACTTAAGCTAAATCTTTGCTGCACAAAACCTACTCTGTATATTTCCTTGGCTTGTTGATGGTCTGGCGCTAATCTCAGAACTTGCTGGAAATGCTGGAAAGCTTTGTCTATGTTGTCTTGGTAATATAAACACATTCCACGTACATGTATAGCATCAGCATTCATGCCATCTTTGTGTAATATATCACTGAAGGGAAAACAGTAATAATAGATCACAGAAGGGAAATTTACAACTAAAGAGAAAAACATTTATTGGTCACTTAAGGCAAAAACAAAATTTCATTGGAGGGGCAAACGATAGTCATATATCAATAAAGGGGAAAACAAAGAACTCAACATCACTGACGGTAGAGTAGAGGCAATCAACATTTAAAGTGAAAACATGAAATTTACAAGTGAAAGGAAAAACGCTTGTTATTTATCTCTGAAAAAACATTTTATATCACTAAAAGGGAAAACACACATCATTTGGGGAATACAATTCTAATTCCTTGCAATGTAAAATGAAAAGCAAAAGACTGTATTTAATGGTAGATTAACATTCTTATAAATTCATGTTTGTCAAGGAAACTTTCTCAAGTAAAACACCACTTAAACCACTTGTCATTGTGCAGTGACTAATTCTGTTTTAAGCACGAATTTGATTATTAAACATCAAAATGAACTTTTACTTACTTGGCAAATTCCTGTGATTCTTGGTATCGGCCGAGTAGAGCTAATACCTCAGCTTTTCTGATTCTGAACTTCATACAAGCTGGACACTGTTCTATACACCTCTCCATACAATATAACACCTAAAATTTACAACATATACTCGTACAGTATAATTTGTCCGAGGATTTCAGACATACGTTGCAAATGGTTATATTTGTACACCAGTGTGGCATTTTAATTAGAAAACTGCATTTTGGCAAATACTCAAGTAAAATCTGAAATCTTTTACAGAAAGGATCCTTTGTTTTTCTGATAATGCTTTAACTTAAACACTTCCAGTAAAGCAGCTGCCAAAAGGTGCCAATAAAACTAGCGTTCTGGTCCAAAGGTTGCAATTAAGCATCAATGAAATAGTGTTTTCAAAAGCACATCAGATACAGGGAGATTTATTTTGTTGAAGTTTATAAAACCACTTTCATGTTTTGATCGATATCATCACCTCTCTGTTCAGCTAGGCACGGTATGTTAAGCTGCTGACAACTGGACATCTCTATTTTGCCTTGGTCTTACCTTCCTAAAGTCTCCTTTCTGGTAGTCAACTTCAGCCATCTCCTCAAATTTCTGTACACGATCTGCGAGGGCTAACTACAAGCACAAAAGAAGCAAAAGATAATCTCTCTAGTACACTGCACAACATCTCCTGAATTCATACACTCACCAGCAAATATAATGTAAAGTAACTGTTAACAATAGACATATACACCTTTGGAATTGACTGCCATAAATACATGCATTACAACAATAAATTCTACTTTCAACCAAATCTATAAAACAGATGCTAGCCTTTGTTAAATAGTTTTGTTTGTCCGATGTATATTTATACATGTGTCTTAGGAGTCTTAAACCTCATCTAGTTCTCATACCACATCTGTTCTGCTTGATTTGCTCCAAAATTTTCTTGACTGTTAACAATGTGTTAAATATTATCTTTATTTTTTTCATAAAAAAACACCTTTAAAATGAATTAACTTTCTTTACAATTGGACAACAGGATTGCAAAATGAATAAATTTTCAAATATTAATTGAAACAAAAAGATATTTTTAAGTATTTGATCATGTCTCACTAGTAAATAAAACGCTTTTTATAATTTTATTAACATTATATAAAACAAGAGGCCCATGGGCCTTAACGGTCACCTGAGTCTATAGTATTTATTTTTGTTGTTGAAATATGTACCAATTTGAGTAAAAAATAGTATAATGTTAACTTAACTTTGTCAGGACCATGAGCTGATCATTCCTAGACCAATTTTAAGTGAGATCGGCCTATTAGAACTTAGTAGCAAAATAGCGGCCATGGCAGCCAAATTGTATTTCTGATTGACCCGAAAAATAACAACACTTTGTCAGGACCATGAGGCGATCATTCCTACCAACTTTCAGTTCAATCGGCCCAGCAGAACTTGACTTTAAGTTTGAAATGTAAAATGTTAACGGACGACGGACGACGGACGACGGACGACGACGGACGAAAACGGATAGCAATAGGTCACTTGAGCTAAAGCTCAGGTGACCTAAAAATCAGGAAACAATTTCTTAATTTATAAAAGTTTCCCTAAAACAGCCACAGAAAGTGAAAAAGAAACTGAATAAAAGAAACTGAACTCCTTACATCTGCTTTTGCTGCGTTGTTTTCAGGTTCCAACATGAGGACTTGTTGGTAGGATCGCCCAGCAGCAATATGATCTCCTAGTGCCAGGTGACACTTCCCCTCTCGGACATAGCCCTTTCAAATTAAAAATAGTTTTGTTTACATGTACACTTCTACACAAATATAAACAATTGATATGTAGGAAGTCTATTTCCACATTACGGAGGCAAATTTATATTATTTTGGACCACAACCAAACAATGCTACAAGGTTCATTTTAATTTTAAGTTATAATTTGCGAAAATGTTTCAGATTTTACAATCAACAAATCTACATCAATAATGACTGTTAAGTGGTTTGTGAAGGCTAGAATCAGGGTTGAGGAGTTCAGTTGGAGGTTGTGACTCCGATTACGCTACCGATCACATTTTCCGCAAGTTGCGAATTTTTATTACTAATTGTGATGACAAAGTTTATAAACACTGTTAATTAAAATAATTTTTTTTTTTTTTTTTTTTTTCAAAGACTTATTCCTTGAGTTTGCTAATAAAGCAAATTCTTGATTGCTTAAGAAAACAAATGGGGTTTTAGCAACTTCTGCTGACGGAAATTTAGATCTAGAGTTTGCGGAGTGTGGGGGCTAGAATCAGATTTGAGGAGATAAGATAGCAGTCATAGGGACTAGAATTACACTTTGAGATTTTGGTTCGAGATTGTTTTGAAAAGATACCTTTACGAAGGCCCTGTCGATCCGGACAGACTGTCGTGCATCCTCCAATGCCTCCATGTACTTGTACAGCATCATGTAGGTGGCTGCTCTGTTTCCATAATAGGACGCATATGTTGGACAAAGTTCTGTAATGAAATATTAATATTTACTTGTAATTGATATGCAAAAGAATCAATGAGGGGGAGGACTTATTTTGGTAGCTGAAGAATTTGATTTTTCTTTGTTCAAATTTTGGGTTTTAGTCCCAATGCTACAGAAGAGTGGTTTCCAACACATTAAACTACTGTTTTGGGACTCTTCTTAGCCTTTGTATGTCTCATTTTGAAAGCACATATCTGTAGTGTACTTCTAAGAGTTGAATCATAAAAAAAGAGCAACATCAACATCTATGTCTTGTTCTTTTGTTTTACAAACCAACTACACTCTCGCGTAGGTTTTTCCATATCTATAAACTACTTGCAGTGAATGGCACTGTTTGTGTATGGTCGTGAACATGTAGTGACTGATAAACAAATATACATGCCTAATTATCCAACGCTTAAATGTAATTGTTTCGACAAGCTACATTTATTTTTCTTGGAAACTATTGAAAATGATTTGACTGGTTTATGTTTTATAAAGAAGACTATTGAGCATAGTGATGTATATGACAGATGTATTCATGAATTACCAGGTATTGTATTATTGTGTTTTTTGTAATAAGTCCAAAAAAAAATTGTAGTCTGTTTAGGGTTGCATGGGCAAAAAAACTAGGGTAGGTAGGTCAGATTTTTTTGTGTGTGTATATTTTTGGTCATGTGATTATGACCCTACTATTGTAAGTAAAACAAAGAATTACATAAAAAAGGTTCATTTGGAAGCAAATTGTGCTCCATATGATGACATTTAGCGCCAACACGGAGCTGGAAGCCATTTTGAAAGGCAAGGAACCTTCTAAAATTCGAAAATCAGCGGGGTTTTTTTCATCAAAAAGTTTTGGGTCGGGGGTAAAAAGCTAGGGTCGGTCGGGAACCCTAAACAGACACCTTTTTTTTGGCCTAATCAGGTTTTCTATTTACCGATAGCTTTGGAGTAACAATTGAGAGCCTCCAGGTACTGTCTTTTCTTGTAAAAAGCATTTCCTTCTTCTTTCTTTTCCTCTGCAAATATTGAAGGACTGAAAAGAAGAAATTATAAATAATCAAAAAGGGAGTTTACAGGTTGCTTTGTGTAATACTAGAGATTATCATTTCACACGACTCCAATGACTTTCACTAAAATAATGTACTAGTAAATCTATAATGTTATTATTCCATTCATTTCAAGAATAGATCTAAAAACTCTCTTCTTTTTCTTATCTCTATTCAGCTATATTTTCTTCAAAAATGCCTCCTTCAATGAAATATAAAGTTCATTTTTTTTTATAATTCCAAACCGGATTTAGCGCTTGTAACAGGTTCTGTGACTGGTTTATATTAGCACACCTGACCCGAAAAACAGCTGTGAATATTAGCATGAACGGCTGTTTTTTCCAGGGGACTACTCTTAAAATTTTCCAAATCCCCAATTTCAGTAAGCAATTGAAATGAAATTTACTTAAACACTTCACATAAACGGCCTTCACTTCGCTATGGCTGCTCATGTGGTGTGTAAATAAGTTTTATCCTGTTTCTTTTTCAACATATTAATCACGCTTGTTGTTGTTGGCCTGCATGTTACCAAAGGAGGGTATACATATTGGTGGCTGTTGATGATCACCAGAAAAAACCCAACGTGGTTGGACAGATGACCAAATACCTTTGCACTTCCAGTCAGGGAAGTGAACTCCACGTTACTTGGTGAAAGGGTGAATGCACTATCCCCTGCACCACCTGACCTCAAACTTATGTTTATAACAAAGTCGAGATCTGGGGAACTTTGAAAGAAGTTTGTACTAAAAATGACAATTCTTTTCTGCAGGTGAAGAAAAACATTATGTGGAAAAAACATCAGACAAATGATGAATGTCATTGTTTTGGTTATTTATGACACTTCAATACAACATTATTGTGCAATCAGACTTTTTGATTTCAGCTATAGCATAATATATGCAACAGCTCAGTATATTTTGAAGATTGTCACAAGCAGGAGCTTCAAACCTATTTGACTTTACATTTCTAATTATTCTTTTATTATTTGGGCAATACTCGGCTATGTACATGTGAGGCCAATAAGAAAATTAACTGATAATGTGTTCATTAAGCAGAGGTATCCTTATCTTACCCGTCAATTTAAAAATACTCTCGTCCTACATGTACCACACTATACATTAACGAAGGATGAGTGCTGGCCAGATGCAACGTCTGTGAGGGTGTTGGCTTCTTGATACGCAACTTTATCTACATACATGTGTCACAAGTAGTGACATTCAGTCGGTTTCATAAAATATACAGTTTAACATCAGTGTTTAGAGACCTATTTATAAATTATAATAATAATAATAATTTTATTAAGGTAAAAGGCATGTGTTACAGGGTTAAAATGCATTTTTAAACCATTTGGAATCGCAGATACTTCAGATAGTTTTGAATCACAGCTCTAGTTACATTTATCTTCAATTAATTACAAATGAATGAGTACAATATTAATACATTTAGCCCCAATTGTTTACAAATGAATGAGTACAATAAAACATGAATGAAATTTATGACAGTTACAGTATAATATAATAGTTTTGAGTTTCAAATTTCCATAAAATGTTAAAATGACTAGCATTTACCCAGGATGGCCCATGAAAGCCGATACAAACAACTTATTTCCAATGGGACCTTATAATCAGGTCCAGTACACTCTGTCGATTGAGCTATATAGCTATAAAGACCTATATAGCTATATACACCTATAAATTATAGCTGTATTGAGCTATATTTTCTCAGATTTCAAATTTCATTAAATTAAAGCAAAGTCGCATAAAACAATAAGGTTTATGGTAATGTTGACTACAAAGAGCATACAAGTAGATGTTTATTTTCATTTTCCATAAATGTAAAATTTCCGATTTTTTTACATCATTATTTTTTAAAAAGAATACTTATATTTAATGTCTTTGTTATCATCCTAATGATACAATCTTCTTTTAAAAGCGACTTTGTTTCGTTTTCTTTAAAAAAAGAAAATCACTTGAAAATAGCTCAAAAGACCTATTTCAGATAGGTCAATAGAGCTATTATAGGTCTTTACAGCTATATAGCTCAATCGGCAGAGTGTACTGGACCTGATAATATACATTATAAAACAGAATTCCAGATAGATGTTTGGTAAACCGGAATATTGACAATACGAAAGTAGGAAAATTGTGTCATTTACTGTTTCCACATGGAAGTTGGAACATTCTAGAACATTATACACAAATTTTGTATCAAATGTGCGTGTGATTTCGATGTCACGGATATATCGTATATTTCAATAAATTTATATCAATAACGTCAAAACTATCATAATGATCTAGCTAATCAATACGAATTGTTTTATGAACCGTTATAAAACACGCTGAAAGACCTCGGGAGCACGTCGGTTAGCTAACCAGAATGGCCAGGGAAATGTGCGAGGCGAAGGACGTATCCTAGGCCTACATTATGTCCCAAATAACTGAGTAAGTAGACGTAGTTCATGCTGGAATATAAAAATACATAAGTTACATACCTCTCAAACTATCATAACTAAAATATTATTAACACTTTTCACTCAACTCTTTTTCAATTGTTGGGGACTCAACTTCCATCTCATCGCCTTCCGACATTGTGGTTGAACAGGAACAAAACCTCGCGAGAATTCAGAGCGTAGAAACCCAAAGAAGGATCGCTGAAGCGTTTGAAAATGAGGCAAAAATCTAGGTCTGTGGCAAGCGTTTAAATGACTATCAAGGAGAGAAAGAGAAAGTGTTTAGACGGTAGCCAATTCTTATTGACTTTTGTTGGCTGTATAATATCTCTTGTTTGTGTTCAAAAAATAGCGCATGCATTTAATTAGCCGGAGTTCCTCCGACCCAGTCAAGCATACCAGGCCCCGGTTTCATGAACGTTCCTTAACTTAAATGTTTCCTTAACTTAAAATCGCTAAGGAATTCCTTAGCTAATGTTTTCCGAAAAATTCGTTTCATGAACTTCCTTATCTTAACTTAATTAGGAGCTCCTTAGCGCTAAGGAACGTTCATGAAACCGGGGCCTGAGCTATTTTTATGATGGTGGTGTGAGGACTGCATCCAGAGACATAAACTAGGGAGTAGGGTCATCATGTTTGTTGTTCAAACATTTAACAGTCACGCATACATACAGGATTGAAACTTAAGTTGTTGGACATTGGGGTGGGGTCTCTTTTCTAATATGTTTTACGGCACGTCCGTTAGTGAGGGCGGAGCCAGGTTGTACTGTAAATGTATCGGAATATCGGTACTGTACTCTTTCAAGCATTGAGTGATGTGTTAAATTACTAAATCGGACCTACATGTATAGCTAGCTATACAGTGTATATTACAGTTAAGTTTCCTTTCTTTAATTTTTTTTGGCTGACAAGATATTTGATATCTTGAAGTTTTCCACCTAGGCGTGTGATCACATGACATTAATGTGAGAATGCAAATGGTTCATTAGACTATATAAGTATTTAAATTTGCACCTCTTGAATCCATTGCAAAAACCAAGTGCAGCATATTCTACAAAGACATTGAAATAAAACATATTAGGATGGATATTGTTAATCATGTATAATAGCATAGTTATCTGATATCCACGAAAAGATATACATATATATATATATTGGGCAAAGAAGTAATTCCAACATTGTGGACAAGTTAAGGTTGTCAAATTTTCGGAGCGATCCACTCCTTTCTCAAGACACAGTGAGACAGAACAGTTACATGTGCATATACATCATATTACAAGAAGATAGAACTGATATACTGTAATTGACAATATAGCTATTATATAAAAAAAACAACCAATTACTAGTCCCCTCGGCTGAAGACAGCCGAAGGCAGCAATTAAGCTGAGAACATCGCGGTACACTCACTCTCCCAAGAATTTCGGTTCGATCCCCAACGGTGGTGGAAAAAAGAGAGTGATGTCTGATAGGGTTAGTTGTTATCCCTCCGATGGCACAGTGGTTTTCCCCTGTGAGTTTCCTCCACCACGAAAACACCATTTGTTCCCTTAGCTGTGTCGTAATAAAAGCTCTACAGAGCTTATGTTTGTTGTTGACAATTGTACACGACGTTAAATAAAGATTATTAATTATTTATTATTTATTATTATTTATAATGCTGATGTAGAGGACCTATTCTTGCGTATATGTATATATCTTTACGAATAAGCCCTTTGGATTACTTTAAACTTAACTTCAATGATTTGTATCCAGAGAGAATTTATGCATAGTATTTAACAATAAATTTTGTGCTTTTTATGTGTAAAAAAATAATTTGTTCAATGCTTTAAAAACTGGATTTATATGAAGTTTCAATTAAAAATAAGAAGAATATGCGAAATCACAATTTTTGTCATTTTTCAATACCCATCATTGCAGCCAAGAGAGTCAATAGATCTATATATATATATTGTGGATGAATACATTTGTTTCAGGAACTTACTGACTACATGCTTTATATGTCTCTGCTTTATGTATAGTTTTAGCAATAGAGAAAATGTATTGTTTCCTCAATTAAAAATTGAATCAGATCAGCACATAAAGCTGTATAGATATTTTATTTTAAATCGTGCAGATTTGTAAAACAGCAGATTTTCTTTAATGAATAAAAAAATAGCTGTGAGATAGTAATCAAAAATGAAAATGTTACAGTATGAATTATTTTTGTTTGTTTGTTTTTTTCGTGCAAAATATCAATTAAAAAATTCTTATGATACTTGTATGATTTTTTATGCTATCATTTTGCGTCACTGTGATAAACTCCCTTTTTGTTGACAACCAGCACGTTGTTTTGTTGATATTCCGTTTTCTAAATATATACCACTGCAATCGTCGTAGGGAGTGCAAGGACAGTAACTCTGATTGATAGTCTCGTTCAACCAGACTCTTTTTGTCTGCGCAAGCGTCTGATTGAACGAGACTACACTGCCGATACAATAATTTTTCGACCATTCAGAACTAGAGCAATGTAGCCGGTAACGTTATGTCAAGAGAATTAACATCTTTAACCGGAAAGTATCAAATATTCAAGTATCCTATAGTTAGATATAAGTTCAAATCTTACAAAACTGTAACGTTTGTTTGAGATTCGGCAAACGAGAACTTGTTTCGAGATCAAGATGGCGGAGACTACAGCGCGTGCGGCTGGCGGCCATGTTAAGACAAGTTTATCTTAATTTTCTTACATACGCGTTACCTATAGGTACTGTTTGTAAAGGTGTGTCACTGTTCTCGGACATATTTTTGCCTTTTCTAGATAACGAACGAATACAGTTTGTAACTGTAGCTAATGATGTATGAAGTTAATCGTTCTATCGTATCATGGTTACGAACAGATTTTACACGTTTGGTGGTAGTAGGGGTTTACAACTAGATCTAGAAACTCTTATATAATCTGTATTTGATAGATATATATTCTATTGCTTAAAGGGGCTGGTCGGGGGAAAAAAATACAAAATAAATGGGTCTAAATGCGTTCTCTGGCCTTCCAAAAGTTATACAACGGCAATATGATGGTCGAGTTCTGCTTGCAATGTCCAGTTTTGAACACTGAAATATCGGGGAAGCCCGCGTAAATTTAGCGCAGATCTATTTATATATGTCACGTGGTTGTTTCGAAAGTGAGGCAGTGGAGATAACAACAATATCACGCTGTCTATCAGCCATGTCGGACTCAACTAGCGGACAAGACAGCAATACTATACGTAAATAATTGTTTTTAAAGGTCATGTATGATGCAAGTGTAATATTCCTACCTATATATGTTGTTGTTATATATATAACGGTATTGATACCTCGTGTCTGTCATGACGTTTGACCCCCTGCAGGTAGGGCGTAAGAATTGTACCTGCTGCCCCCAATTGCATGATCGTAAGAGGCGACTAAATTTGGGACCTTATCTCTTCTCTCCTTTCTAAATAACTTTCTTCTTCCTAATGTCTCCCTTGACAATGCCTCACTTTTGGCCATTTGTTGAGCGTTCGCCCCTGTGAGGAAGGCTTTGGGTTCTGTCCCCTGGCCGAGACATACCAAAGTCTTTAAAAATGGTAGTTTCTACTCCTGCTTAACGCTCAGCAAATTAGGAGTGGGACGACTGGTTCGCCCGTTGTCAGTATCATGTGACCGGGTGGGGCGTCCTGCTGGGTGTCTTCGGCAGTATGTTTCAGTGAGGTAGCACTATAAAGTCGGCATCAGTTCCGCGCTATCACAAGGAGACAAACACGAACATATCGCAGCCTCCCAAAAAACACACACATACACTACACGCATGCATCTTGCACACAGGGGAGGCCGTCCTTAAATGACCTTAGCTGCTAATAGGACGTTAAACAAAATCAAACAAACAAACAAACAAACATGACGTTTGCATGCATCTTTATGACGCACATGCGGTAAAATTACATCACGGATCTGGGTCAATTGAGAGTTTTAGACTGTCAGGTGACGATTTAGGATTTCTTTAATATAATTATAATTTTTACTCTTAGGGAGTGAATTTCAGCAAAATTTGAATCGGTATATTTCATAAGAAGGTATTTTAAACATGTGTATGTCATTTTAGCAAATATGACATTTTTTCCCCGACCAGCCCCTTTAATTTGTCTGCGCTAAACATTCAGTAACTGTAATGAGTAGTTTAGAGTAAATTTAGGTAACATGCAACTTGTGGATTCACCGCTGTAGTAAGGAAGAAGACCACCCGTCTTTTCCTTTGTGGAATGTCAGCGTCTTGTACTTTTGATGACATTCAGTCCTACCTACACGAACGTGGTGTTACAGCTACCTTTATTTGCACTTTAAAGAGTTAAATTAAGCACAGCGTTTCAGCCCAAGTCAACGTACTCTCTTCTGTCTGATATTGGGAAAACTAAAGTTGAAAACTTCTGGCCCATTGGAATTCGTGTAAGGAGATGGTTATCAAAAAGCCGGTTCTACGGTGAAAACGTCGAGTTCGCCAACGTCAATGGGGAGGAGTAACTTCAAGATGATTCGCTTGTCGGCTATCCTTATTGTCATGGCTTCGGTCAGGATAATGACTTGGAAGGTCACTGGCATCATGTCAGCGGCTTCCCACCTCAATAATGCTCTTACTTCTGAGGAAATTGACATATGTGACATCTCGGAGCACTGGCTCTTAGAGGAGCAGAGGCATTTATTTCGGAGCATTCATTGCGATTTTGACAGTCACGTTATTTCTGATTTTTCTCTTCATCCCCTGTCTCAAGATAGAAGGCGTAAAGGCGGCGTTGCTCTATTGTGGCGGAAAAGGCTGCCCAGTCGTTTGACAGTGATTGACTCGGCTGCTGATAGAATTGCAATCTTGAAACTAACGTAAGGTTTCGTCTTCATTCAAGTGTATCTTCCTACCACGCGTTATGGATCAGAGTTATACTCTGAATATATCGCCAAGCTGAATGATTTAGGTGCTTCTTTCCTAATGGAAGGCTCGGTAGTCATTATGGGTGATGTCAATGCCAGATTAAGTGGACATAGAATCGTTGGATATGAAAACAATCGTGGTCATCTTCTACAAGGTGTTATGAATCGCTACCAGCTTTACTCTTTAACAACATCTGATGTTTGTAAGGGACCAATGTTTACTTACGTTCATTCTGAGGACGGCTCATCTTCTTTGATCG